AGATCAAGCTCAGGGCCCTGATCGACCAGCCGCCGTACCACTGCCGCACCTTCTTCTCTACGGGAGTGAACCCTGGCACGGGCGGCCTGGCCTTCCTGATTCCGTGGTTCTCCGAGTCTGAGCTTCGCTCCGTGGACCAGTGCCTGCTCCCTGTTGCCAAGATGAAGACGCTGGTGCCTGGTCGAGTTGCTGAGCTCACCTCGCCAACACGAATACCAGCGAGCACATCCGCATCCTCAATTTCCACAGCCGCGACGTCCCGCGGTCTTCCTTCGGCGCCATCAAGCGCAGCTGGCTGGATGGTTCCCACTGGGCGCAAGATGATGAACGCCGTAGTATTTTCATTGCCATCGGCGACTTCAACATCGCTGATCTGGAGCCGGTGTCCCTGGAGAGGCCCCCCGTCGCCCATCGCAGGACCGTCGATCGCGAGCCCGCTACGACGACCCCAAGTTCCCCTACGCGGAATGGCACCTGCGACTGCTCCTCATCTTCCCCCTCTTCGGACTCGAGGTGGAGTAGTGCGCGGCGTGCGGGTAACAGCCGCTCCGTCTGGCACCGTGGCAACCTGGGGCAAGGCTTCTGGAGGGCGCTCTTTCAGCAAGCGCTCGCGGAAGTCACATGCGAGCTGCCCGCGCACTTCTCCAAGCAGCACCATACCTGCTCCTTCATTGACCGCGCCGTCGTCTCTATGAAGTCGCACTCCATTCTGAATGCGGCGATCTCGTTCGAGATCTGGCAGGAGGCCGCGACGCTGGCGGACTGGGGCCTCAGCGACCATGCCATCATCCAGCTGAAGGTCTGGGCTTGCCCACCATCTGAGATCACCGAGCAGTCGATCCCTCCAAACATCTTCAGCTCTCCCCGATACGTGAGCCACGTGAAGTCTCTGCCGGACGTTGCCGACCTGGATTCCCTGGAGGTGGCCCCTCGCTGGGCCCTCGTCAAGGAGATTATGGCTGGGCTGAGGCGGCGCGCCTGACCAGGAACGAGATCCAGGCCCTCCCGATCGGCGACTACAGCGAGGACGCGGAGGACGGCAGGCGGCTCTCCATGCGTGCCATTGCCCGAGCCGTCTTGCGTCAAGATGCCCACCTCGCGCGTCGCCTGAGGCAATCGACGGCGCTAGGCGTGAAGCACCTGTCGATCAACACCGACGATGTGGTCTCCCTCGTTGCCCCTGAGGGCCTTGAGGGGCTGCCGTTTGCTGCGCGCGGCCTGGCATGAGCGCCAGCGTGCTGCGGCCGCTGCTCGACCTCGAGAGGGGGCGCGTCGTAGACCTGGCGCCGAGGGGCCCGACAAGTGGCAGCTGCTGAAGCTCCAACGGGCTACGCAGCGCAGGGCCATGCTCTGGGCGCCCTTCCGTCGACGTCTGGTCCTCGCTGGAGTCCGTTTGGAGAGCAACGGTCACATCGCCCCCGTCGGGCGCGACCCAGTTTCCGTGTTCGACGCCCTGCGCTCATATTGGAAGCCCCACTTCGCGGATCAGCCCGTGGACACGGACGCGATCGACCGCTACTTGGACATGCACCTCCCCTCCTTCGAAGCGCCTTCTCTGCATGTTCCCTCTGCTGATGCTCTCCGTGCTGCCCTTCGGCGTGCGAGGCCGTCGGCGCCTGGCCCTGACCGTCTGATGGCCAAGGCCTGGGTGGCGGACGAGCGGCTCTCCGACGTTCTACACTCCCTGATGCTGCGCCTCTTCGAGGGCGGAGGTGCCCCATTGGGCTTCAACTACGCGGACATGGCATTCATTCCCAAAGGCTCGGAGGTGAACGACTCCTTCGATGCGGTCAGGGCACCTGGCCGCCTCCGCCCGCTGAGCCTGAGGAACGCTGACGCGAAGGCGGTGGCGTCGGCGACGAACATCCAGCTTGGACAACTGACTGCCCTCCGCGCGCATCCTGCGCAGCAAGGCCTCACCCGTGGCCGTAATTTTCTTGGCCACAGTGCCCGCCAGGGTGCGATCGCTCGTGCCGCGGGGCACCGCCCTGATCTCTCCCCCGCGTTTGTCTCCTTTGACCTCCGTGCTGCTTTCCCCTCCCTTTCCCAGGTGTTTCTACGCCGAGTGCTCGAGCGACATCGCATCCCGATGGGTTTTCTGACTGTGATTTCGGCCCTCTACTCTGGGGCTCTCGCCCACGCCCGTTGTGGCTCCGCCAGGCTCCCGCTCTTCGTGGTCTCCTCAGGGGTCGCCCAAGGGCGCCCCCTCTCAGGCACCATCTGGGCCCTGTGCATGGACCCCTTCCTGCGCCACCTAGAGGCCCAAATCGCATGCCCGTCTGCTCGTGGCTTGTGCCCTCGCCCTGGCAGCTTGTGCCCTGGGCTCTTTCCCGAGTGTGGGGCGACGGCGGACGATGTGGGACTCGCCCTTCCCTCGAGCTCTCTCCTCCCCGCTCTTGCCCCCCCCTTCGACGCCGCCCGCGCTCTTGCGAACCTCCCCCTTCAACCCGAGAAGTGCCGTGCCGCCCCCCTGGCGGAGGCCTGCGCGCCAGCCGCGGGGGCAAAATTCCAGTGGATGATTGTCGAGCTGGCCCCTCAGTGGTCTGCATTTCATGTGCGTGGTCACACAACTTTTCTGGGCATTGAGTTTGGCCCTGGTGCGTCCCTCGAAGAACAGTGGGCCGCCCCGTCACAGAATGGCGCGCCCGCGCCATCGAGACGGCTCTCTCCCGCCCCCCTGCGGAAGCCAGCTGCAGGCTCCATAATTTCTGCATCCTCCCTGTCCTTAGTTATGTCTGCCAGCTCTTCCCTCTCCCCCCGTCCCTCCTCCGGTCTGAGCGTCACGTCCTCCACCGTCTCCTCCGTCTTCCCCCCAATTTGTTCGGCCTCAGTGAGCTCCTCAGCATAGGCTCCTGGCTCCCATCTGCAGTCCCACGATCCGCCCGCGTTCTCGCAGCAGCATCGGCGTGGCGGACGGCCATGCTCACTCTTCCCCGTCTTGGGCCTCGGGGGTGGGCGGGCCTTCTGGAGACCCTGCGGGCGCATGGGCAAGTGCACGGCACGCTCCATGACCTAGCAAAGAAGCGTTTCTCTCCAAAGTGCTGGATTCGCTCGTCATCTATAGCCGAATTCCTTGAGACGTCCAGCTCGGCGACGGCCCCGCCACCGTGCGTGGATGCTGCGGCCTGGCGCGCCGCAGCGTCGGCCGCCGACGCGGAGCTCGCGACGGCGGTGCAGGGCGCCCGCCGCCCACGCCCTCAGCGCATCCTCTGCCGTCTCCTCTCGTCGTCCCTCTTCCTTGACTTCCGTCTTTCCCTGCTCCGTCGGCGTCTCCCCGCCTGGCTTCCGAGAGGCGATCTCCCAGCCCCCCCCCGAGCTGCAAAAGCGATGGGAGGCCCTCCGCGCGATTCTCTGTCGCACTCCCCCATCCTGGGCGTGGGCCCACTTGAAGACGCTGGCGGGGGCCTGGACGACCTCCGCCCGTCTTCCCAGTGCCCCTCTTTGTTCCTGCCTCTTCGGCTGCTCCGACCCAGACGACTTCCCCCACTACCTCGTGTGTCCTCGTCTCTTGCACCTGGTCGCTCTCCCTCGCGGGCTTCTCCCCGTCTCCCCAATCACTCGTCTGGGTCTTGGAGCCGAGCCCGATTTGGAGGCAGAGTCTCCCCGCCAGCGCTGCCACTACATTGCCGTCCTCAGCTTTCACATCTATCGTACATTGACAGCTGATCTTTCACTGCGTCGTCGGCCCCCGACGCCGCTTTACCACTGCGAAGTCCGAGCCGCTGCGCTCGCTGCCATGCGCATCTAGTGCTCAGGTCACCACGAACCGCCCCAGGTTACGTGCGCTCCTCCTCCTCCCCTTCCTCCTCCTCCTCCTCCTCCTCCTCCTCCTCCTCCTCCTCCTCCTCCTCCTCCTCCCCCTCCTCCACGCCGATACCACCCCTCCTCCACGCCGATGCCACCCCTCTTCCACGCCGATGCCACCCCTCCTCCACGCCGATGCCACGCCGTTTCAAGGATTTGCACAGTTGACGTCCCAGACACGGCGTTCTGGCATGTCTTGGGATTGTCACGGCGCAGCAGTAATCTTGGTCCGCGGAGTTGACATCCCAGGAATGGCGTTCTGACACGGCTGAGGATTCTCAGACGGTTGTCTTCGAATGGGCCTTGAGGCAATGAAGGTCCATTCTTGTAGTGACCCAAGAGGAGGGAGTATGGAGGGAGGGTCTATTGCACCATTGTTGATGCGCCGTGGGTTTACGCTTGTCCTCCTCCTCCTCCACGCTGATACCCCCCTCCTCCTCCTCCTCCTCCTCCTCCTCCTCCTCCTCCTCCTCCTCCTCCTCTTCTCCCTCCTCCACGCCGATACCACCCCTCCTCCTCCTCCTCCTCCTCCTCCTCCTCCTCCTTCTCCTCCTCCTCCTCGTTCTCCTCCTCCTCCTCCTCCTCGTCCTCCTCCTCCTCCTCCCCCCCCTCGCCGCTCTGAGGCTTGTGTTCCCACTGTGCCTCGGCTCGGTGCGGAAACTCCTGTCCCTCCCGCGCGGAGCGAGCTGCCCTAGACGTGTGCGAAAGCCCGCACTCCTTCTGCAGTCCAGGGGCTTCAGAGGACGGCGCGAGGTGCCCGTCGGCGACTCCCTGGCGCCACTCTCGCGTCGGGCATTTTTCTCTACGGGAAGAATATTAAAGTATATCTTTAATAGTGGCCTGGGGACGTTTTTTTTTTTTTTTTTTTTTTTTTTTTTTTTTTTTTTTTTTTTTTTTTTTTTTGGTGTTTTTTTCCGATTATATTATACAATTGTTGTTTTTGTTGTCTATTTTTTGTTATTTTTTTTCTTCTTCTTCTTCTTCTTCTTCTTTTTCTTCTTATTATTATCAGTATTATTATTACTATCATTATTATTATTATTATTATTATTATTATTATTATTATTATTATTATTATTATTATTAATATTATTATAATATTATTAATACTATTTCAAAATCCGCCTGTAGAAGGACATGCCCGACCTAACGTTACTCCCTCCCTTCTCCCTCGTTCACCCGAGGGCCCCCCCGAGGCGCCCCAGCCGCCGCTGCGGCGCGCCCGGCCTCAGCGGGCGGCGCGGCGGACGGGGGCGCGAGCGAGAACCTGCGCGGGCGCCTCAGGGGCGGCCTGTGCGGCGGCCTGTGCGGCGGCCCTTCGGCGGCCCCTCGGCGGCCCTCTGGCGGGCCCTTGGGCCCAGGCCCAGGGACCAGGCTCGGGGCCCACGACCTGCGCACGCGCGCGCAGAGAGCAGAGAGAGGAGCACACCGGCGCCCCCACAGGGCGCCAGCGCCGCTGCGCGCGGCGCCGCGCCTGCCGCAGGGGAGCCGCCCGCGGTGCCCCAGGAACCCAGACGAGGCATAGGTACTCCGGATTTCGTAATAAAAGGGAGGGGGTCTCATTTCGGGGGGGTCTCTTCCAGGCTATCTTGGAGGGCCTGGGGGGGTCTGGGGACGATGTTTTGGAGGGGTCTCCCACGGGGGAGGTCTGAAATGGCTTGTCGTTGAGGGTCCAGACCCCCTCCCTTTTCTTACGAGATCTGGAGTGCCAATACCGCTGCTCGTCCCAGAGGGCCCCTGGCACCATGGCCTGATTTCCCTGGGGTTCTGGCCGGAGCGCGCCCCAGGAGAGGTCCTCGCCCTGCCGGGGGTCGGCCTCTGCTCACTCCGTTGGGGTGGGCGGCGCCCTCGGCGCGCGCCGTGCGGCAGGGCTCTGTCGGCGGGAGCGGCGCACCCGAGCGAGTGTCGCGACATGCAGGGCGCTCTCGTTCGGAGGAGGGCCGGCATGAACCTGAGCTTTCGGAGGCCCGCGGGGATTTTCGGAAGTTGCGCTGGATCCCCCGAGCGGCGCCCCTGGCGCCGCCCCTGGCGCGCTCCTCGCGCCAGGGAAGGAGGTCCCGCGCCGATCCAGGCAATTCGCGTGGAGCATCGGAAGTTCATGTTTTGCCGCTTTCTCATTCCTCTACTCATGTCAACCCAGTTCCCATCCATGTCTTTTGTGTGTGCGCGTGTTTTTTTCTATCTCTCTCCTTCTCTCTCTCTCTCTCTCCGTCTCTGTCTCTGATCTGTTGCGCCCCGTTGCCCCTCGAAGGAATCGTGTGTTCTCTCGCGTGTCTTCTCGTCCGCGCGCGGGCCGACAACTTCTCTGGGCTCCGCTCCTCCGGGGGGCAGGTGCACCAGATGCAGCAACACGTGAACACCGGTCGGCGATGCTTGTTCCTCTTGTACAGTCAACCCGCAGAGTAAGTATGGGCAACCTTCCCAAGGGTACCCTCGCATCCTTGCCTCTTCGGTCTATCCTTGACCACTTCTGTTGGCTGCGCCCCGCTCGGGAAGCTTCGAAATGGACATCCAAGGCCCTTGCATCCTTATCCCGCATCCTTACCATGCGGGTTGACTGTAGCCCTGGCACATCACGGGCCGGCAGGTCACGCCCGAGTAAATCGACGAGCGGTGGAGCCGTGATTTGCCACATCTGCGCAGGCGGGCGACTTATATCTTGCACAACGACCCCTCTAGAGATGCCGTATTCATACAGCCGATCGAAATGCATTTGCCCACGCCGAGGCATCGATACTAATGTATATGGAGAGCTTGGGCAACGCTCGCATTCGCAAATTCTGTGCATATTAGCTGTGGCACAGTTGACAAGTGTGCGTTTTCGAAGTTACGCGCAGCCAATGTTTTGGCAGTGCTAACTCATGTGCAGATCTGAGACGGATAGCCGTTAAGTGGCTTCGCTTCGTGTAGCAGCGCGAATTCAGAGTAGCCCATGTCCAATGTGAAGGGATGGATGTTCCGAAACGTGGCACTCAGGGGTAAATAAACCAGTTGGCGTAAGACTCCGTTAATCTGATGCCTGCACCGTTAAGCAGCTTTAAACGGATTTGGATGAAGCATGGACGAGATTCGTATCGGCGTTTGGGGGCGCGGAATTTCCGAACCATGAAGCGGTACGAGTCAAGCGTTCGGTTTCCCTTGTCCTCGTCCCCTCCCTTGTTCCTGCCCTCCCGTTTTGTCATCTCCCGTTCTAATGCTGGTCCCTGTGCCTTTCCTTGCGCCTGCCGTAGCCCCTCTCCCTTCACATCTTCCTTCACATCTCCCCTCGTAGCTTTTCCCATCTCGCCTCTGATCGCCCCTACGTCCTTTTATCTGCACTCACGTTGTCCGTCCCGTCCCCCATTTGAGCGACGCCAGAAAACGGCATCGTGTTCACCGTTATTGGCGCCTAAGCTGCCCGCGTAAGGTCGCGCGTAAGCGCCTGCGTTTCCACTGCGGCGTGCCAGCGATGGCGGCCGCATGAGCCACCGCGTAAGGTCGCTACGTCGTCTCGCGTCAGACCGTTTCTGATCGTCGTTCATGTCTCCCTTTTTGCCCCCCCCCTCCCCCCGTTCTCTCACACACTCTGTCCCCTGCTCTGCTCGCAAGTTCGCCTAGCAGAGGTTGGTTCGTGCTGCATTCTTGGCTCTTGCTTGGTGGCGCTGTGTGTTCACGGCTGCGATGCCAGACTTAACATCAGGACATTCGATTATCGCGGTGCTTCTCCTTCGAACGCCCCAGAATCTTGCTCCTCGGTCCTGGACTTCGACCTCGACGACGACGATGACGACGACGACGACGACGACCTCGACGACGACGACGACGACGACGACGACGACGACGACGACGACGACGACGACGACGACGACGACATTTTCCCTCTCCGAGTCCCTCCGCCCCCACGCCAGCCAAGGCAACCGTGTATTGCGCGCTGCAACTCCGCAGCTTGGCCAGCGCACGGGGCGCGCGTCAGCGCAGCCTGCCCTCGATGCCAGGCTCACTCCATTGTCCTCCCGGTCTGGGATCGGAGGAGGAGGGAGGAGGAGGAGGAGGAGACGGTAGAAGGGAGGAGGCAGGAGGGAGGAGGAGGGGAGGTGGGAAGGAGGAGGGAGGAGGAGGAGGAGCAGGAGGGAGGAGGGAGGAGGGAGGAGGGAGGAGGGAGGCGGGAGGAGGGAGGGAGGGAGGGAGGGAGGGAGGGAGGAGGAGGGAGGGAGGGAGGGAGGGAGGGAGGGAGGGAGGGAGGGAGGGAGGGAGGAGGAGAGGAGGAGGAGGAGGAGGAGGAGGAGGAGGAGGAGGAGGAGGAGCACGCAGGAGCAAGAGGACGCCGCCTTGCGGCCTCCTCCTTCCCTCTGCTTCTCTGACAAGCCCTCCCCGCGCCGGGGGGGATGGTTCCTTATGGCGCTCGGGGGGATGCCTTCGTCGGGGTACCGGGCCGGGTACCGACGGGGCCCACGCGGCGCTCTACCGATCGGCCCCTTTGGTCCTGCCGCCGGGAGCACCTTCGGGGCTCGGGGGGTGCCCTCGTCGGGGCTCCGCGGGGGCCCGTGTCGCCGCACTGGTCTGCGTGGCACCTCTGCCGCGGAGCGGGTGGTGCTTGTCCCAGAGACGCCAGCGAGCGAGCGAGAGAGGAGGAGGAGGAGGCCAGCCTGCGACGCAGCAAGCGGCTCCCCTGTGTTTCCTGGTGGGCCTCTCGCTTCTCTCCGTTGGTCTTGGTCTCGTGAGGCTTGCTTGCGAGATGCTCTGGACTTGGGAGATGCGGGGGACGATTGGGATTTACCGATGGGCCTGCGTCGGTACTATGCTCCGAGGGACCCTTCTACCATGTCAGTTTACTCCGTGGTTTGCATGCTGCATAACAACCAGGGTTCTCAGTGACTGCTGTGTGTTATGTGTGCAAGGACCGAGCCGTTATTTGTTCCTTCCTCTGTCAATCCATGGATTGCTGCTCAGGCGGGAGTTGGTGCATATGGAAGGGCCTCTGTGTGAATGTTGCGACAGGCCTAATTGCCTCCTCCCGTGTGCGCCCACGGTTTACAAGAGAGTAACTCAGAGTTGTTGGAGCTCTGGCTTCAACTTGGCGTTTTGCAACATTACCCGCACCAGCCTGCAGCGGCGAAGGCTCTTCTTTGCCTCTACCCCTTCGCCTGTCCCTGGCCTGCACCCAGTGTACACCCAGTTTACAGGTAGTAACCTCATGCATTCCTGCACCTTTCTGGTGACTGGGCCCATGGCACGACTTCAGCTTGTTCCGCTCTTAGGCCTGCTGCTGCTGCTGCCTCTGCATTGTTCTTCACCCAGTGGTCTTCTCGCTCTCTATCTCTCCATTTCGGGTTCGCACCTCTGGCCGCACGACCGACCGACCGACCGACAGAGGAGGATGAGGAGGAGGAGGTGGAGGAGGAGGGGGAGGAGGAGGAGGAGGAGGAGGAGAGGAGGAGGAGGAGGAGGAGGAGGAGGAGGAGGAGGAGGAGGAGGAGGAGAGGGAGGAGGAGGAGGAAGAAGAGGAGGAGGAAGAAGAGGAGGAGGGGAGGAGTAGGGGAGGGAGGAGTAGGAGGAGGAGGAGGAGGAGGAGGAGGAGGAGGAGGAGGAGGAGGAGGAGGAGGAGGAGGAGGGAGGAGGAGGGGAAGAGGGGGAGAGAGGAGGAGGAGGAGGAGGAGGAGGAGGAGGAGGATTAGGAGGAGAAGAAGGAGGAGAGGAGGAGGAGGAGGAGGAGGAGGAGGAGGGCTGGGGCCAGGGCCAGGGCCGCGACCGGGACCCGGGATGGGGCCAGGGCCAGGACCGGGGTTGGGGCCTGGGCTGGGGCCGGGGCTAGAGCCAGAGTTGAGGCGGGGGGAGGGGTCTTGAGCTCCACTGCCGATAGAGAGGCCGCACCCCTGTCCTCCTCCACCGGGGGGACCGCCCGGGGTGGGTTGTTCGATACCCCTTATTGGTTCGATCTCCGTTACGACGACGATTCAAAGTAGGCCGGCGTACTTCTGTTTGGGTTGGGATGTCCTCTCGCGTCGAAGAGCTTCTCACGCACGCCGACTGTGTCGTCGGATTTTGGCACGATGCGGGACTGCCACGGCGCACCAGGCACCTTGATTCGCAGAAGTCCCATGAACGGTCTTCTGACACGATTCAGGATTTGTCAGGACGCAACAATTACGTTGATTCGCGGCGCTGAATTCGTAGGAACAGTGTTTTGGCACGGTTCAAGATTTGCAGATGGTGTCTTCCAATGGGACACCAAGTTCAGTGAAGATATTGCCAAATCATCCTGTGGTGTTGGGCCTTCGTTTTGAAGTGACAGCGCCCCGCGTTCCTCAATCCTTCCACCTCCCCCTCCTCCCTCCTCCTCCTCCCTCCCCCCCTCCTTCCTCCCTGCGTTTCACCCACCCAGTACAGCGTTTCGTGGCCCCATCGGAAGCTCCACCGAAGGCCCCAGTGGCAAAGTTCGCATGGCGGCCCCGCCTCATTTTAGCGTAATTACCCTTCACACGGTTCGTGACCCCAAAGGGAGCTCCACCGAAGGCCCCAGTTGCAGCGTTCGCATGGCGGCCCCGCCCCATTTGGGCGCACCCCTCACACTGTTCGTGGCCCCAAAGGGAGCTCCACCGAAGGCCCCAGTGGCAGGTTTCGCATGGCGGCCCAGCATTTTGGCGCACCCCTCACACGGTTCGTGGCCCCAAAGGGAGCTCCACCGAAGGCCCCAGTGGCAGGTTTCGCAATGTCGGCCCCGCTCCATTTTGGCGCACCCCTCACACTGTTCGTGGCCACATAGGAAGCTCCACCGAAGGCCTCAGTGGCAGGGTTCGCATGGCGGCCCCGCTCCATTTTGGCGCACCCCTCACACGCACCGTGGCCCCGTAGGAAGCTCCACCGAAGGCCTCATTGGCAGGGTTCGCATGGCGGCCCCGCCCCATTTTGGCGTACCTCTCACACGGTTCGTGGCCCCATAGGGAGTTCCACCGAAGGCCCCAGTGGCAGGGTTAGCATGGCGGCCCCTCCTCATTTTGGCGCACCCCTCGCACGGCCCCACAGGAAGCTCCACCGAAAGCCGCAGAGGCAGGGTTTGCATGGCGGCCCCGCCCCATTGGCGCATCCTCAAAAGTTTCGTGGCCCGATAACGAGCTCCACCGAAGGCCCCAGTGGCAGGCTTCGCATGGCGGCCCCGCCTAATGTTGGCGCACCCCTCACACGGTTCGTGGCCCCAAAGGGAGCTCCCCGAAGGTCCCAGTGGCAGGGTTCGCATGGCGGCCCCGCCCCATTTTGCCGCACCCCTCACTCGCTTCGCGGCCCCATTGGGAATTCCCTTTGCTTCGTCCCACCTGCCCTGCGGTTCTCACACTTGCGTATGGCTGGCTCCTTCGCCAGGACATAGTTTTTAGGGTCATACGAAAAAGGATGTTTGAGGGAGGGTTAATCGAAACATCGCTGGCGAGTCTTACGCTCGTACTGATTTTCCTCCTCCCCTCCTTCTGCGCGGATATGGAGCAGGAGTTTGAGCTGGCTCCCCTTGGGTCCTGGGCTTGGAGGTTTCTTCTTCATGGTCGTCTTCTTCTTCGTCGTCTTCTTTTTCTTCTTCTCCTCCTCCTCCTTCTCCTCCTCCCTCTTTCCTCTCTCCTGCCTCCTCCCTCCTCCTTCCTGCCTCCTCCCTCTTCCCTCGCCTTCGTACCTCCCCCCTCCTCCCTCCCCCCTCCTCGTCATCCTCATCTTACTCCTCGTGCTTTCTTCTATACATGTGTCTCCTCCTCTTCCTCCTTCTCCTCCTCCTTCTCCTCCTCCTCCTCCCCGCCATCCTCCTTATCCTACGAATCCTCCTGCTCCTACTCTCTCGTACTGCGGTCAGGAGGCTGCTTGACTACATCGAAGCTTCAGCCTGATGCTGGCCGATCCGAGTGTCTGGAAGTCGTTCCCCGAAGGCGATGCTCATGATTATCATGCATTTTTGTTGCCGCTTCGCGCATGCCGCTAGCCCATCCAAGGGCGATCGCCAGGCGAGTTGCCTTGATCAAGCATGCAGTGGAACAGCCGCTCCGAAGGATCCATGCTTGTGTCTTCTTGGAGCTCTCTTGGGAGCCTCCCGGGGGCAGAGAGAAGGAGTAAGAGGAGGATGAGGAGGACCAGGAGGACGACGACCACGGCAAGAACGAGGATGAGGAAGAGTAAGAGGAGGATGAGGAGGACCAGGAGGACGACGACCACGGCAAGAACGAGGATGAGGAAGAGGACGGTGAGAACGGTACGAGCAGTATAGTAGTAGTAGTAGTAGCAGTAGTAGTAGTCGCAGCCGTAGCCGTAGCCGTAGCCGTAGTAGTAGTAGTAGTAGTAGTAGTAGTAGTAGTAGTAGTAGTAGTAGTAGTAGTAGTCGTAGTCGTAGTCGTAGTCGTAGTCGT